CACACACACACACACACACACACACACACACAATCATTCTTACATCTATTCAACGATATATATGTATTTCTTCTTACAAGCATTCTTATATATATTGTCAATAGATATGTATTTCTTCTTTCTTGATTCATGTATTTCTTCTTTCTTGATTTATGTATTTCTTCTATCTTGATTTTTTCCAAGTTCTTTTTGTATCTCTGAATGAGCACCCTTACATAGTTCTAAATAGTTGGTGGTTGGTAGTCTGGAGTGCCTGTAGAACTCTTAGGGGGGCGCTCCATCTGTGATGTTGGTGGTACATGACGTCTGTGCGTGGATGATTGACGTCCGAGTCGGAGTACCTTCCTGGCTCAGCAGGTGGTGGGAACCAACAGTCTGTGAAGTTCACCCGTGATGTGAGTTGGTGATGTGCAGCTTTGCTCCGTGTTGGATGTATAGACTGCCTTGTCTGCGCTCCTTCACTGCCTTGCTGCCCGTCCCCCTGACGTCGCATGTTGTTCTTTGCAAGTTGCTGTATTCACTATGTGGTGAGACTGCCGAGTTGGTGTTGCCCTGTGCTTCGCTGCAATGTTGCCTTGCTGCCCATCCACGTGCCGTTCCTTCCACGTGCCTTGCTGGCATGTCGAATGGTGTGGCTGCTGTGTTGGTGCTGCCTTGTGCTTTGCTGCGCTATTGCCGTGCTGCTCGTCCGCTTTCCGTGCTGTTCCTTGCAGTCGTTTTTGCTGTGTCGTTCCTTGCAGTCGTTTTTGCCGTGTCGTTCCTTGCAGTCGTTTTTGGCGTTGTGCAGTTGAGTTGCTCGAGCAGCGTTGCCTGGTGCTTCGCTGAGTTGCTGCCCGCTGCTATGTTCCGCTTGGCGACAGTCTGCCTTCAACATGCATTGGGTCAAAAAGGGTTCATGACCCAAACCATCAAATACGGAGATTCCGCAGATTGTCAATGGTTCAGCCTCCTGATGAGTCATTCCGACTCTATCATCAGTTTTTTTTTTTGTTTTTTTTTTTGGACCATTTCTCAATTTATGTGTGTCATCCTTGCGCAGGGGCTATGCTAATCTTCTCTGTACCGTTCCAATTTTAAAGGTTGTCCGCAATCTGACATCAGTTCTATTTTTTTCAGTCCTTGAATTTTTTTGGTAATTTTTGGTTTGTCTGTTTGGTGTGCTTCTGCGTTGTCTGCTGGGTCTGTTTGGTGTGCTGGTGTGTCGTTTGCTTGGCGTGCTTGTGTGTGTCATCTGCCTAGTCTGTTTGCTGTGCTTGTGTGTCATCTGCTTGGTATACTTGTGCATTGTCTGCTTGGTATACTTGTATGTCGTCTGCCCTCCCGCCTCCCCCGTGCCCTCCAGCCTTTGTCCCTTGCTGCTGTTTGTCATCCTATGTCTCGTTGCCTATGTCTTTCCCTGAGTATCTTGTATGTCGTCGGCTTGGTGTACTTGTGTGTCGTCTGCCCTCGCACCTCCCCCGTGCCCTACAACCTCCGTTCTTTGCTGCTGTTTATAATCCTATGCGTTGTCGCCTCATGTCCTGGTATGCTTGTGTGTCGTCTCCTTGGTATGCTTGTGTGTCGTCTGCCCTCCCGCCTTCCTTGTGCCGCTCCAGCTGTCGTCCTTCGCTGCTGCTGCTGTCTGTCATCCTATGCCTAGTTGTCTCATGCCTTTCCCTTAGTACCTTGTGTGTCCTCTGCTGGGACTCTGCCCTCCCGCCCCCCCCTGTGTCCTCCAACCTTTGACTTTTGATTCTGTTTGTAACCATATGCCATGCTGTGTTGCATGGTGCTTTCTTGTTTGATGTTTTACTGTCTTTTTTCATCTTGCTGGTCTTTTTCTTTTGTTACTTTGGGAATGGTCCTGTTTCAGTAGTACATCACCAAGTTGCTTCTAGTGCTACTCCCCCGGAGAAAGGACGTAAGTCCGGGTGCATGCACTCCCTAAGGTTTGAACGGCCGTATCACAGCTTGCTGTGGGGTTTCTTAGCGTGAAACACTATGGCGTAGAATGAACACACACACACACACACACACACACACACACACACACACACACACACACACACACACACGCACACACACACACAACAGATACATACACAGATGCACATATGCACACAACAGATACATACACAGACAGACACATGCACAGGAGAAAGTACTGGCTTGTTTGTCAGTCTGAGAGTCTGTTGGTCAGACGGTCAGTCAGTCTGTCGATCCGTCAGTCCGTACATCCATTCGCCTGTCCGTCCATCCACCCGTCTGTCCATAGTCCGTCCGTCCGTCAGTCAGTCAGTCAGTCAGTCAGTCAATCAATCAATCAATCAATCAATCAATCAATCTTAACTGGCTAATTCATTTGGGGTAATCAGCTGAGCAGATCATAAATCGTTTCTTTTTTCGGTCTGCTCGGATAACAAAATATCACGTGCCTAAGAGTAGCAAGGCATGGCGCAGATCCAAGAATCACCAGTGTGATGTCGTCCAGGACATCCGTTAAAGTTGGACGTTGGAACGATATAGAGAAGGATAATCAGCTTGGGCCCTGCGTCAGGAAGGATGAAACACACAAAAGACTGAAAAATAGAACTCCAACTACACAAACATTATCAACATGTCGAGATGCAGTGAGGGTAGCATACATGGATGAAATGTCCCTCCTTGCGCACACACAAATGGGGACAAACCCACAGATGATGGAGGTAGGAGGAGACGAAGTGTAGGGAGAAGAAGAAGAGAGTCCAACTCAATGTAACCGCCAAATAATAATACTCTCTCCTCAAATCCCACAATTATGACCGGAACAATTTTGAGTCTGTACCTGGGGGCAAGCCTCCCTGAATAGTTGCCAAGTCTCTCTCTCTCTCTCTCTCTCTCTCTCTCTCTCTCTCTCTCTCTCTCTCTCTCTCTCTC